CGGTTGGCCCCGCGCCGCGGACGACCCGCGCTCGTCGCAGGGGCCTTCTCGGAGCAACCCGCGCGCGTCGCGGGAATTCCACGCTGCGCTCAGCCGCCTCGCTCGCCAATCGTCCGCCCAGCAGCCGGAGCCTTGCCCGCAATCGGCTAGCGAGCTAGCTCTCTTTGCTCCGCGCAGCAGGCGACCCGCGCGCGTCGCTGGGACCCGTTCGGGGCGACCGGCGCGCCTCGCGGGGGCCCCGCGCCCCGCTGCGCCCGCGGCCTCGGGCGTCGGAGCGCGCGGGCGCAGAACGGGGGAGTAGCCCGACGCCGGGCCCAACCGCGCGCGGCTGCGAGCGCCGCGTCTGCGACTGTCGTCTTCGGCGGAGCCCTTGCGGCGGCGCGAACCGCGCGCGGGGTGCCCCAAAGTGGAGCGGCGGCGGCGCGCGCGCGGCCACTGGCGCCTTCGGTGGAGCCCCTCAGAGGGCCTTCGGCGCGGCCCATTCCGTCCGCGATCTGTTCGACGGGGGATAGCGAGACAAGTAAGACCGCCCGAGATTGCCCACCCCCATCTTTCTCTCCCTCCGCGCCCGCGCGCTCCGAAGCCCGAGGCCGCGGGCGCGGCGCAGCGCGGGGCCCCCGCGACGCGCGCCGGTCGCCCCGAAGGGTTCCCAGCAACGCGCGCGGGTCGTCCGCTGCGCGGAGCAAAGAGAGTTAGTTGACTCGCTGGCCGACTGCGGGCGAGGCCTGGCTGATGGGCAGAGCGACGACAGGCGGGCGCGGCGCTGGGCAGAGCCCGGCGCGGAGTTCCTGCGACGCGCGCAAGTCGTTCCGAGGGGTCCCCAGCGACGCGAGCGGACTGTCCGCGGCGCAGGGCCAAACCGTCAGTCCGTCGAGAGAAGGCGAGGCTTTGGCGGGCCCGTCCCTTGGCCAGGCCTCGCGGATAATTTCGGCGAAACCCAGTTCCCAGGCAATGGCCGTCCTCCCCCTGGCACCGTTTCGCCCGCAAACTGCTCCAGCTGCTTCCGCGAGCCCACCGGCGGCCTCGCCAGGAAAAACTCGATCCGTGACGCCCACATGAGCAGGAGGTCCTCGTGTCGCGTGGCGCGCGAGAGCAGCGCGTAGGGCTCCAGCCGCCAGTCGTCGTCCTCCTTCTTGCCGTTCCCGACCTCGTGGCGGCCGCAGTCCAGGATCACGCCTGGGCGACGTCGGCCAGGGGAGCGGCGCGCCAGCCAGCCGACGGCCCAGGGCGAGAGGCTACAGGGCCCAGAGCAGGTCTGGTTGCGGACCGTTCGCAAGGCCACGAGCATTGCGAAAGGCGCGCCCCCTATGGGGCCACAAACGCTGCATGGAACACAGGAACAGCATGCGAATTCCGCCACTGGGACCTGCGGCGGAGTTTCTCTGTGGGGTCACGATAACATTGTATTGGGCGCATGAGCCGCATGCGAGCTCCGCCGCTGGGACCTTCGGTGGAGCTCCCAATGGGGCCACGAAATACCGCAGTGGGCGTAGGAACCGCATGCGACTTCCGCCGTTGGGGCTTCGAGCTCCTTTTATGGGGCCACGAAACGCTGTACTGGGCGCAAAACCGCATGCGAGTTCCGCCATTGGGACTTTCGGTGGAGTTCCCATGGAGCCACGAAACGTTGCATTGGGCGCAGGAACCGCATGCGAGTTCCGCCACTGGCCTTCGGTGGAGCTCCCTATGGGGTCACGAAGCGTCGCGCCGGGCGCAAGAACAGCATGCGAGTTCCGCCTTGGCCGCAAAACGTTGCACTGGGCGCAAGAACCGCATGCGACTTCCGCCAGTGGGACTCGGCGGAGCTCCCTATGGGGTCACGAAACGTTGCACTGGACGCAAGAACTGCATGCGACTTCCGCCAGCGGGACCTTCGGCGGAGCTCCCTATGGGGCCACGAAGCGCTGCATTGGGCGCAGGAGCCGCATGCGAGTTCCGCCGCTGGGACCTTCGGTGGAGCTCCGTATGGGGCCACGAAGCGCTGTGTTCGGCGCGGGAACCGCATGCGAGTTCCGCCAGTGGGACTCGGCGGAGCTCCCTATGGGGTCACGAAACGTTGCACTGGACGCAAGAACTGCATGCGACTTCCGCCAGCGGGACCTTCGGCGGAGCTCCCTATGGGGCCACGAAGCGCTGCATTGGGCGCAGGAACCGCATGCGAGTTCCGCCGCTGGGACCTTCGGTGGAGCTCCGTATGGGGCCACGAAGCGCTGTGTTCGGCGCGGGAACCGCATGCGAGTTCCGCCACTTGGACCTTCGTTGCAGCTCCCTATGGGGCCACGGAGCAGTGCACTGGGTGGGGGGAGCGCGGGGAGGAGGAAGGAGGGGGAGGAGGAAGGAAGGAGGAAGGAAATCGCGGGGCATATCTATATTGTATATACACATCAAAAACGAAGACCCGATACCACAGGATGTGTGGGACAAACGGAAGGAAGGACAATCTTGGAGGGTCTAGTTGTTGTTTTCGCTACCCCCATAAAACAGATCACGGACAGAGGGGGAACCCCACCGAAAGCCCCAACGGCAGCGCCCGCGTGCCGCCGCCATTCCACTTTGACACACCCCTCACACGGTTCGTGCCCCTATAAGGAGTTCCGCTTAAGACGATATTCACAAACGCGGTATTCACAGCTGCATGTGGTCGGGGCCTTCGCCAGGCCAAGTTTGGAGGGCCTCGGGTCCGAATTGCGGGCAAAGAGCAGAAGGAGCAACATGAGGAGCACAAGGGGAAGGAGGAGGAGGAGGAGGAGGAGGAGGAGGAGGAGGGTGGGGAGGGGGAGGGAGGAGGAAGCGAAGGACAACGAAGAAGGGATGTGCCCCCTCCGGTCACCGCCTCTCCCAGGGGAGGAGTTGTAAAGGGAAGAGGAGGCGCGGTCCTGGGTCTCCCCTTCATCCCCGTGAAGCTCCTGACGAATCTGGTTCTCCCATTGCGTGGCGCGCATGGTGAGTCAGTCATCCGGCGTGTTGTTTTGTCTCAGGGTTCGGCAAGCGATCACGGCGAGAAAAGCTGGCCTTCGGACGAGCGGCAACGATGACTTCGGATGCAACTCTTGGGAGGTCAAATTCTGATGTTGCCCTGGTCCGAAATCCGGCTTAATCCCGCTTAATCCCGCTCAATCTGGCTTAATCCCGCTCAGTCCGGCTTAATCCCGCTTATTCCGAGGCCCATTCCGGCGTAACAGTTCCCAAATGGGGCTTAATTTTCCTTAATTTTTCCGACGAAAACCTCCCAGTAGTTGCTTCCTAAGATGACTACGACATACGGTCACGACGGTTCCCCACAAACATACTGCTGCATCGCTGGCCACGGAAGGCCAAGAGCGAATTTTGGTTTTCAGATCGCGGCATTCACACAGACACATTCGAACAGGAGAATCCTGCCCAGCAGGAGGAGATGGAGTCCCAGCAAAATTGGGGGTTGGTGTGGCAGGGGTGTTCGCAAGCTTCGCCGACTCCTCCCAAACATGATGCGGCCCGACCAGTTCGCGGTTGTGGCCCGAATTTGCAAACGTTGCAGGTGTTGCTTTCCCCCGCAGAATTCTCTCGTCCATTCCCTTCACCGTTACACAATATAAACAGTCACACCTTCTGATTGCTGCTCTCCTCCCTCCCCTGCTGATGTCCGGGAGATGTCCCGCCGTCTCCGCGTATTGTTTTTTATACAGGATCGGACACATGTGATTTGTCTTACGGTATACTAGAATCCGATTAGTTTCGGTGTTTCAACCTGGTGCTCCCATTGCAGCGTGGGTTTCGTTTTCGGATCGGTGCTTTGATCCCGTCGTTCAGAATGGCGCTCTCGCCCCGGCGCAGCCCACTCTGGATCCGAGTCCTTCTGCATCGTTGTCGCCCCCCTCCGCTGTCATCCTCTGCCTTCCGCTGGTCCTCCTGCTCCTCCCCTTCTTTCTGTTCCAGTTCCCGCTGCCGCTGCCGCGCATCACACGACGGTTCTCTTGTGAGGAGTTCCAGGGCCCTTATGGCACGCGTCCGTGGATAGAGAACTGATCAGCGCAATGGAAAGGGGTAGGCGGGAGGAGTGGCGCGAGCACTCGGCCCCTCGAACACTCGGCCACGCTTCAGATTTCCATGGAGGTCCCGTCCCACAGAACTCAGGAGGGGAAACAACACACACAGACACAATTAATCGTCGATCCCCAGGAAAATATGGGAAAATATGGGAAGTGGGGGGGAAGACCGAAACCCAGAAAATATTGGGAAATATGGGGAATCTTTTTATTTGTGTGTATTTATTTGTGTGTCCCAGGGTCCCTTCAAGAACGTCCCTCTCGCCACAGCGCGGGCCGCATTCCTGCGTCAGCAGAGGTGATGGCTCCGCTGAAGCGGCTGCCACACGGCGGCATTCCCGTGCAGTTCCCGTCCCGTGGACCGACGCGCTCGCCGCAGAGCTGGTCGCACGTCTGCGTCCCGCAAGCATGCCGTTCCCCTGGCGGCGCTTGCCGCGTGCACAGATTTTCGGATGGCCTCCGCCCGAGGAAAGGCGCTCCCAGATCCATGGTTTTCTGTGTCTTTTGCCTCCTCCTTCCTCCTGGTGGTTCCCTGCTTTCCTCGGCCCGACCTCGTACCCGGTCCGTCGACTCTCGTCTCTCCTCCCCCGCCCCTCCGCCTCCTTCGTGTCCCCTCCCGGTCCCCTACGCTTCTTCCGTGCCCCTCCCAGCTCTTGATGCCCAGCGCCTGCATGGACACAGCTGCCCTTTCGGGATCCCTGGTTCCTTCGATATCTAACTGTGCGGATCGAGGGGGCTCCACTCCACGGTGAGGGATGGGGCGATGGGGCAGGACGAGCGAGCCGCTGTTGCCGCTCCCCTCTCTCCCGTCCCCGCCTCCCTTCTCCCTCCTTCCTCCATGTCTTTCCGTCATGCTGCCGCTGCGTTCCCCCTTCCCCCCCTCATTCCCCTCCCTCCCCCATCCCCTCGCCCAGTCCCTCGTCCCCCCGCGACTCCCCTCCCCCATCCACTCATCCACCGCTCCCTCGCATGCAGGAGAAGAAGGAGAACGTGGCAGTGCCGGCCACGAGCTCCACGGCTGGCGTGGCCGCCCCCTCCCCTTCCCCCCCCGCCTCTCTGGAGGGAGGCGATGGGCAGGGCTTTCGGCTAAGCTCGAATTCCTGCAAGCAGACACTGGGGTAACATTCGTCTTGCCATTGGGTGGGATGTAGATCAGGATTCCGTTGTCGCACTCCGGACTCTGCGACACCGCACGATCGACTTGGGAGTAGGAGCAGGAGCAGCGCTTGTTTTATGGTGCCAGCTTCTCGCAGGAACAAGGGAGCGTGTCGTGGGTAGCAGGAGTGGGAGATGGGAGGCAAGAGGGGAAGCAGAAGGGAGCAAGAGAAAGGAGAGAGGAATTCGATTGCCCGCGGCTCTGGAATCAAGTGCTGTCACCCGATGCGACCGATCATACGCTCATCTTCTTTAGCACCAGCTCGTAAGCGATAGAATCCCATGAGCGGCCCTCATTGCAAAGTTCCTTTTCCCCTCTTCCTCTCCCTGCATCTTCCCTCCTTCCAGAGCTCAGAATTCGTCAGGCTTTCATTGTCTGCTACACAGTCGGGCGCTTTGTTTGCTGATTCCCCATCGTGGGGCGGCCCGTTCTTCTCTTTCGCAATCGCGATGCTTATATCTTCTGATTCACGGTCGAGTATCCGCGCCGCGTTTCTGATACCCTGAAAGGTCTCCTTCTCATCGTGGCATTCCTAAGCTGGAGGAGGAAGAGGAGGAGGAGGGAGGAGGAGGGAGGAGGGGGGAGGAGGGGGAGGAGGAGGAGGAGTAGGAGGAGGTGTTCGGACCAGCTCCCATTCACCGCCGAGAGAAAAGGGGGGGACCACAACTAAAGGCCTTTAGCGGTTGGTATGTTCAGGAGAGTTGTCAATTGCGCATTCTTCTGCCCACGCGTCTTGCTTGACGCTTGGCTTATGTTGTTGTTGTTGCTGCTGGTGCCAGAATCTAGCTTCAGCGGCTGTCCATGAGACGTCTCGGTCCGCCTATGTCGGTGAGTCGAAAACGCTGCAGCATTCGCACACATAGGGCAAGCAGCATGGGCATCGGAGACATTACGTGGAGTCGGTCCGCATCATGTGTTTTTTTAGACTCTCCTGAGCAATTCACCAGACAAGTTTGAAATCCTCCTCGTTTTGGGAGCGACGGAGTGGTTGGGGAGAGAAGAAAGAGGATGACGAAGAGGAGGAGGGGGAGGGATCAGATCACACAGACATCGCAGGCAAAACAGTCGTAGTTCGGGAACGGTACAACTTGGCGGACAGTCAGATTTGTTGAAGTTCGAGGTGAGCAGGGTGCAGCTTCATTACAATTGAATACCAGTCCTTGCACACTCCGATGCCAGTCAGACTAGGCCGCCATAGTACGACCAAATGCGTGAGACGAGTTTCAGTATGATTTGGGGAATGACCACGAGCCAGTCGTGGTCAAATTCGGGCTGCTCGTGTTTATCGCAGTGGGGCCCTGTCAGGGCCAGTGCTGGCCCTCGCGCACGCGGAGAGGTCAATGGCGGGGCGAGCTTCAGAGAATCGGTCATGTCCAGGGCGGGGGCGGAGGGGAGGGCAGGGGGCCGGCAAAGCCGGCGAGGGGAGCGGGGATCGACCAGGCCCCCCCCGCATTCCGCAGACGGTGCCGAGTCGAGCGGCACTGTTCGGACTTGGCATCGCTCGGACGTGTGCATTTTTCCGTCGGCGAGGACCATCGAGGTTGATCATTTGGCGAAAAACAAAAAACAAAAAAAACACGCACGAAACCGAGAAAAACACAGGCAATGGACGTCCGAGCGATGGCCAGCGGAGGTTCGCCGATCCGATCCGGCGCGCCCGGGCGGGCGCGCTCTGCCTTCCTCGCGGGGCGCGAGGGGCAGGCCGGGAGCGGCGCGGGTCGGGGGCGGGGCGGTCCTGCAGGCCGCTGCGCCCCCGCTCCGCGGCGTTCCGGCCTGCGCTCCGCGGAGCCCTCGTGGGGGCGGGCGCGCGCGCGCCCCCCGGGCGCGCCGAGGGCACCGCGATCTCCCCATCTGCGCCGTCCACGCAGAACGCTAGCCCGAGCTTGTACGCCAGCCTGTACGGCTCCCCAGACGAGGACCCCGGGGGCTCGGGGGGCTGTCGGCGGCGCGGGTCCGCGCGCGTGGGGGGGCGGGAGGGACAGGAGGACGAGCAGCAGCGGCAGGAGCAGGATCAGCTGTTGCGATGGGCGTCATCAGGTTGTGTGGATGTTCGTAGGGGACAGAACCATATGAAATAAATCTTATTTAATCGCTTCGCTCATTCCGCCGGCCCATATTGTCGCACCGTTGTGGGCTAGCCGAGTTTTGGGGCCTCTTGGGGGCCGTTTTGGGGCCTCTTGGGGCCTCTTTTGGGCCTCTTGGGCGCCTCTTGGGGCGTCTTGGGGGCCTCTTGGGGGCCTCTTGGGGCCTTTTTGGGGCCTCCTGGGCGCCTTCTGGGGCGGAGGGCTCGATTTTTCAGTTCTCGGTTCCCCTCTTGAGCCCCTCTTGGGCCCGTCTTGGGGCCTCTTGGTCCGTCTTGGGCGGCACTTGGGCCGTCTTGGGGGCCCTCCTGGGCCGTTCCGGGGCCGTCTTGGGAGCCTCGTGGGCCGTCTTGGAGCGGTCTTGGGGGCCTCTTGGGCCGTCTTGGAGCGTCCGGAAGCCGAAAAAGCCAGAACGCAAAAAACATAGAAAAAAACAATGAAAATCAACGATTTTGGCCTCTTGGGGCCCTCTTCGGAGGCCTCTTGGAAGGCCCTTGGGGCGTCTTGGAGGCCTCTTGGGCTGTCTTGGGGCCCTGTTGGGCGTCTTCGGGCGATCTTTGGCTGTCTCGGGGCCCTCTTGGACCGTCTTGGAAGCTTCTTGGGGACCTCTTGGCCCGTCCTGGGGCCCTGTAACAGGGCTCCGGCATCTCTGGCCCAACCTTGCCGGGACCTTGCCGGGGACTTGCCGGGGACTTGCCGGGACCTTGCCGGGGTACTTTCCGTCCGGGGACCCCCCGGGGCCGCCCCGCGCGCGCGAACTAGAAATACTGTTAACCAGGTACCGGAGATCTTAGCACGCCCTGGCCCGTTGGGCCGGCGAATTTTTTCGTGGCTGGACACTATCTTCAGAATACCGGCCGGCCAGGTTTTGTGGTGAATATCGGCCGTCGCAATGTCTGCCTAACTCGCCCTCGAACCGCATAGATCCAGGCCTCCCAGATGGGGTCGCAGCAGACGAGGTCGGAGGATCGCGCCGCATCGTCGATACATCGCCGATGCGGTGCGGTGCGAAGCCCGATTTTCTCTACTCCGACGTCGCCGATTTGCCGCCGACGTCTCCGATACATCGGCGATGCATCACCGACGCATCGACGATGCTCTGGCGATGCGGCGCGATCCTCCGACCCGATCTACAGTGGAAACCCATGCCGAAAAACACCCTGCTTGCCTCCAGGGTGCCCTCGGTTTCTTGGGGTCCGATGGTTTTGCCATGAAGACGTGACGCTCCCACACCAAAAAATCAATGGACGTCCTTGGGTCTCAGGGTTGGGTTTCTTGCAGAAGGTTTCTGGCCTCTGATAGGTCAGGAGGAGAAAAAACACACAGACACAATTAATCGTAGATTCCCAGGAAAATATAGGGGAAATATGGGAAGTGGGGGGGAAGACAAAAACCCAGAAAATATTGAAATATGGGGGAATATTTTTATTTGTGTGTATTTATGTGCGTGTGTGTGTGTCCTGGTGCCCCTTTTATAGGGCGTGAGTGCTGGCAAGCAGCGACGGCCCGAGGTGCCGGTGGCCCTCGGGGTCGGGGGCGGGACCCGTGCGAGAGCGCCCGCCTGGCCCTCGTGGGCGACTCGCGAGGGCCCGAGCGTCGGGGGCGGCCTGGCCGACCCCCCAGCAAGCCATCGCCTTCCGTGGCGTCCCCCTCGCCTCGCCCCAAGACGTGTGTCAGAGCCCCGAATCATCGGGGGTAACTCGGGTCAGGGCTAACTCGGGTTCGCTGTTCGGGAATCCATTCCCGAGTTACCCCGGACCCGAGTTGCCCCGGATAACTCGGGCGTCCAGAGCCCCACATCATCAGGGGTAACTCGGGTCAGGGCTAACTCGGGTTTCTTTTTCGGGAATCCAAACCCGAGTTACCCCGGAGCCGAGTTACCCCGGATGACTCGGGCGCCCAAGTGTGCATGCGGCCAGAAGGGAGCTCGAAGGGCGAGAATGACGTCATGGAAGGGGCTGGCTTGCTAGGGGTCGGTCAGGCCGCGCCCGAGATCGGGCGGGGCCAACTTGGCCGACCGAACCCTTCAAAAGTTTATGCGCAGGTTGTGTGTGTGTGACTGTTGCGCTTTTGAAGAGCGTGTGGACTGTTGCTGGCCCCCACGGGGTCTGGGGCGGTTCTTCGGCGCTTGTCGCTTTTCAAAGGCGTAAGCTTCTTGGGGCCCTTCGTCTCGCCGATCGGGCGCCGCGAATGCCCGGGGCCCAGCATTCGGGAGGTGGCGGGTGACTTCGGCTCCGCCTTCCGGCCTTGCAGCACGCTTCCCCGGGGCTCTCGTTTCGCCATGGAGCGATTGCTACTACCCCAGTGGGGCGACCTCCACTGCATTGGGCTTGGAGGGCCCTACGGGGGAGCACCTCGCTATGCAAAAAAGATGAGAGGTTGATTGCCCATGCTGTGCCTGCACTCAGGGGTTATTACTTTCTGTCCTGAGGAACAGGGCCGGTGTGGCGGTCTGGCGGCTATGTTGCCGCCGTCGCCGCCCCGTCGCCGCTTCTTTGCCGCCCGTCGTCCGGGCCGGCGTGGCAGCCTGGCGGGAAAATGTTGTCGCCGTCTCCGCTCCGTCGCCGCCTCGTCGCCGCCCGTCGTCTGGGCCGGCTTGTCGGTCTGGAAGCTATGCTGTCGCCGTCACCGCCCCGTCGCCGCCAAAAGTGCACAACGTAGATTGCACAGCATATATGGCAACACATAGATCGCGCCACCTTTTTGCAGTGCAAGTCTAGACGCTACGCGTATCCCGACCAGTCCGTAGCCCCCTTGGCTCAAGCTGTCTGGTGGGCCTGTCTCCTCCAGGGCAGTCTCCCACCCCTCGAGGGGGCGCCCCAAGTTGGGAGGTCCCCCTCTCGGCGGCTTTCCCCTGTAAGATTGCTGCGCGGCCTGATCTCCCCCCCCTGGGTCAGCCGCTAGCCTGATCGCTCATGTTTTTTGTTCTTCGCCTGTGCGGTAGCTGTTCCAAAGTTCGGCGGACGAGGCCTTTGGCCCAGCGTGTCTGTCAGTTTTTTGCAGCGCGCGCGCGCCAATGCATTGTCTCTTGGATGAATGGATCTCGCATTGCCAGGCTCCGGCCGCAACACTGATGGAGCGGCTTTGCCCTCGTAGTGTAAAACAATATTACCCGCGGTGGGCGACAAGCAACCCTGGAAAAGGGTAGGGGTAACAATTTCACCACGTACTTAGACCGTCTTCAGTTCAAGATTTTAGGTTGGATGCTGCAGCTCACCCGGGATCCTCACGAGACCCCCGTGCAGTTCAGCATTAGAAGGACCACGGAGTTTAAGGGCGAACTTATCATCCAGTGGTCCCGGTTTGATAATTGATCCTGGATTTCGTGGTTTTCCCACCTCCAGCGCCACAGTGATTCGATGGCTGGGCACGCTTTTCGACAGCCAGATTTTGAACAGCTTAGCTCAGTCAGGCGCGTCTGGACGTGCGGCTCTTTAAAGACGGGCACGCGCACGGCCAGAGGACGCGTCTATTGATGATGGGACGCATTTGGTTGGTGTGCCGCGTTCTCGCCGGACGGCTCCAGGCACCACCGTGTGCTTTGGGATCTGTCCCGTCACCTGCTCATCGCCTTGGGCGGCAGGGACAGAACGACTGATTGATCGACGTAAGATTCTCTCTGGCTTCCAAGCTTGTTGTCAGTCACCGCTTTGATGAGCGTGCCATCCATCCATCCATCCATCCATCCTCGTCCTTCTTTCCCTCCTCCAACCTCCTCATCCTCTTCATTCCCCCTCCCCAGGGCCAGCTTGTTGTTCCGCATCGTTTTGGTGATTATCTTGTGGTCTGGAGGCGGCCCGTGGAGGCCAAAGCAGAAGGAAGCACCAGGGTTGATACAAACAATCTGGTGGAAGCTTGGGGCCGAAGCGCGCAAAGCGAGCCATGCAGATGCAGGTTTGCCGCTCTCGGGGGCGGAGATTCTGCACAATCTTCGGGCGGGAGCAGCGTGGGTGGGACTCGCCCTTGGGAGGACCAGCGCTGACCTCGGCAGTCTTGAGAGAAGTGGTAATTTCTCCCCCTCTCCCTCGCTATTCTTCCTCCGAGCTCTGCGGCATCTTCCTACTCCCTCTTCATCCTGTCTCCCTCTCTCTTCTGCCTCCTCTTGTTATCCCTCTCCTCTTTTCATCATCCTTGTTCCTCAGTCTTCCCTGGCATCGTCAGTTTCCTCCATGCTCTATCAGATTATGCCCACATGTTCCTCGACCTATGCCTCCTCTGTTCTTCTTCTCCCCATCTTCCTCCACCTCCCTCCGCCGCCGAGCGTCGATTGGCGTGTCAGAGATCGGGAATTTCGACGCCGCTGGAGGATGGTGGCCGCACTGCAGAAAGATCGGCCCGGAGCGTGGCGTAATGGTCGGGTCGGGCGAAGGGGGGGATTGGGAAAGGGGGGGTTACGAAATTTGCTGCATGCAGCTGGTTTCGGCCCCACCGAGGGGCCCATTCCTCGATACATAGCCGCCTCCGGCGCCGGGAGGCGCCGGGAAAATCAGCTACGTGAGCTGATTCTCAAACCCCCCCTTTGCTATCCCCCCTTTCGCCCGACCCGAAATGGGGAGGCGTGGCAGGACCGCGCGGACGCCGGCGCTGGGGGCGGTGCCCGCGAGAGCGTGCCGCCGCGGTGGGACTGCGGCGGCCGCGCGATGCACCGAGGTGCCAGCAGGGCACGGCCCTCGGGACTCTGCCCCTCCTCCTCCTGCCTCCTCCTCCTACCTCCTCCTCCTCCTCCTCCTTCTCCTCTCCTCCTCCTCCACCTCCTCATCCTCCTCCTCTTCTCCTCCTCCCTACCTCCTACCTCCTACCTCCTACCTCCTACCTCCTCCTACCTACCTCCTATCTACCTCCTACCTCCTACCTCCTCCTCCTCCTCCTCCCTCTCCTCCTCCTCCTCCTCCTCCTCCTCCTCCTCCTCCTCCTCCTCCTCCTCCCCCTCCCCCTCCCCCTCCCCCTCCCCCTCCCCCTTCCCCTCCCTCCCCCTTCCCCTCCCTCTCCCCCTCCACAATTACACAATTACACCACTACACAATATGAATGCTACTCTCCTATCTCCCCGGATAACGTCCGGATTATGTTCGGCCACCCTCCGCGTATCGATGTTGATACAGGATTCCCGGGAGTTGGGTTTTCGTTTGGGCTTTTAAGAAAATGTTGTTTCCGCTGAAGCGTTGGCCTCACTTTCGGGTTCCCGCTCGTTCCGAATCGTGTTCCCGCTGCAGCGTTGGCCTCATTTCCGCGCTTGCGCTCGTTCCGAATCGTGTTCCCGCTGCAGCGCTGCAATCATTTCCGCACTTTCGTTGGTTCCGAATCGTGCTCCCGCTGCAGCACTGGCGTCATTATTTCCAGCACCATATCACGGCATGCAAAGCAATGCTATGTGGTGTCTCGTTGTGCGATTACATACATTCAGCTGCAGTGCTAGGATACGCAATGCTTGACTACGCGTTGATCTTCAATGCCATGTTCTGTTCTGTGCCGCTGGGCGATGCCATTATTTGTGTTGCAATGCTTTGTGATGCAAGTCTTCACTACGCAATGCCACAACATGTTATGACATATTCCGCTCTGCCGTGCTCTTCTACGCCCTGTTATGCCGTGCTATACGATGCATCGTGCACCCTCTCAGGATCATTGCCCTGTGCGACATCCGACTGTGCGAATAGACAGGAGATCTACGCCCTGGTAAGGGATGGGAGGGAGGGGTAGGACGTCAGATATGACGCGAGCGCACCTAGCTTGCCATCCCCCTCTCCCTCCTCCTCCTGTTCCTCCTCCTTCTCCTCCTCCTCAGGCTCAGACTTCGGGTGGACCCGCTCTTCCAGCCCAGGCGGTTGCCCTTCGTTTCTGCATCCGGGGGAACCATTTCGGGGTCCCTGGGCAATCAATCACGGATCCGTGACGGAAGGCAACCCATGAGGAAAGGGTCGAGAGTTCTGCGGCCTTTGCCTGAAGTCCGTCTTTCTTCCTTTCGCTCTGCCCCCCGCCCCCCTCCTTCCCTGCCCTCCTCGCTCCCGCGCGCCAGGAGTACGATCCGGCCAAGCCGAACGACTACGACGAGTTCTGCCGCAGGAGATTGAGGCTAAAGGCGGAGGAGGACAGTCAGCCTCTCGCACTCCGGGGGGAGCATGAGGAGGAGGAGGAGGAGGAGGAGGAGGAGTAGGAGGTAGGAGGTAGGAGGTAGGAGGTAGGAGGAGGAGGAGGAGGAGGTAGGAGGTAGGAGGTAGGAGGTAGGAGGTAGGAGGAGGAGGACCAGTGTAAACCCAAGAGTCATCAACGATGTTGGAGTAAACCCTTCCTCCAAGCTCCCTCTTCAGAGGCCCCTACAACGGTTCACTTCCATTGATGGAACTGCCTCGTTGGAAGACACCCGCTTGAAGACCCTGAAGCATGCCAAAGCATTGTTCGCGGGATTCCAATGCCATGGATCAACCTGACTGTTGCGTCTTGACGGTCCTGAATCGTGCCAGATTGCCATTCCCAGGACTTCAACACAGAGAATCAATGTAACTGCTGCACCCGCACAATCCTGAATCCGTCCAAAACACACTTGCTAGCACGTTGTTGATGGGATTCCGTGAAGCTCCTGAAAATATTGTAAACCAATGTGCGCGGCGGTAAGGCGAGAGCCACATTCTTGAAAAAAAAAGGAATCGCCCTCAATCCGTAAAAATCTTGCAACTTGTAAAGCGAATGTGCGCCGCGCTCATGCGAAAGCCACATTTCACAACGACCCGCCCTCAATCCGTGAAATTATTACGAATGTTTAGAACGAATGTGCGCCGCGCTAAGGCGAGAGCAACATTTTGAAAACCACTCGCTCTCAATCCGCTAAATTCTTGCATTGTTTTAGAACGAATGCGCGCCGCGCTAAGGCGAGAACCACATCTTGAAAACCACCCGCCTTCAATATGCGAATCTTTTGCAAATGTTTAACACGAATGCGCGCCGCGCTAAGGTGGGAGCCACATGTTTTCAACGACCCGTCCTCCATATTTGAAACTGCTGCCGATGTTTAAGCTTCAGAGTCATAAGTGGTGATGAAGTCTCAGGCGAAACGTCCGGCCCGCCCTGAAATCTGGCCTCGGGGTGCGACAGGGGGAAGTTATGTATAAGGAGAAGGATTGGAGAAGGAGGGGGAGGAACAGGAGGAGGAGGAGAAGGAGGAGGAGGAGGAGGAGGAGGTAGAAGAAGAGGAGGATGGGGCGTGAGGGGAGGAACATTTGCAAGGAGTGGGAGGATTAGTGGCCTCCCACTCCAGGGAGCAAGGGGGAGGGGTTTGGGTGTTGCTAGAGGTGTCCACGGCCTGGCGTTCCCCAGGATTTCCTGGGAGGCCCATGCCTTTGAAGCCTGGGGAATGTTTGGGCTTCTTCACCCAAAGTCTTGCTCATTAGTTTTTGGTTGTTTCAACGTGGGCTTCCAGGTACTCGTGGCATCGACGCCCCCCCCAGCTGCACTGCAGCAGCCACATGTATGTAGCATCGTAGTTCCGTCATGTAGACCGCACGTGCCTGATAATTCGTAGTTGACGCATGGCCATCTCACCACTACTGTATATCTGTATGTTGGCTCGCGTGGACCCCAAACATTGCGTTTCTAGCCGTATCAAATTGCCTTCGGCCCATCCCCGACCGTTGCGCCTGGGCTGTAGGTCAGAGGTTTCCTGGATGCCTGTGAGGATCTCTTGGGAGGCCTTTTTCGGATGCCTCTTGGAGGCCGTTTTGGGGTTACTTTTAGGGCCATCTTGGAGCGGAACGCTCGGATTTTCGGTTCGCGTTCCCACTTGTGGGCCCTTCTCGGGCCGTCTCAGGCGCCTCGTTGGCCGTCTTGGGCGCCTCGCGGGCCGTCTTGGGACCTTCTTGGGGGCCTCTGGGGCCGTCTTGGGGCGGTCTTGGGGACCTCTGGGGACATCTTAGAACGTCGGACGCTCGAGAAGGCGAGACCCTCAAAAACATCTGGAAACACCCAAGTCACATAAATGCTGTTGACCTCTCAGGACATTCTTGGGATGGCTTTGATAGCTCTATCGGGACGTTTCGGAAGCGTCCTGAGCCTTCCTGGGGCCATCTAGGCCGTCTTGGAGCAATCGTTCAGCGATTCGGGGCCCTCGCAAATCATCTTGTGGGACTCTTGGGGCCCGCGTGGCCCGTTGAGGGCCGTTCGTGACCACCCAAACAACGGTTAGGGAGCTGTCTAGCGGTTGGAGCCAGAGGGACCGAGGGAAGCCGCAACCATTTTGGCCCAAGGGGCCGACACCAGGATATGTTAAATCGTTAGTGTCGTCGATCGCGCAGTGGAAGAGATTTCATCGACCTTACCATCGCCTCAAGAGAATTGCATCATGAAAAAAATGAAGGTAGTCACTATGGCCCAGCTAGATATGCCGTACCAACGCAAATTCTATTAGACGGGTGCATCTTGATGCCCACGATGTGCGATGAGCAAGGTAATTTGCCGACTGCGCCTGGCAACCGGCTGGAAGAAGACCTGGAGTCGTACGTGATGCCCGTGCAAGTAAGTGCGCGAACAAGCCAATTGTTTGACACTGGGCACCGACTGCCACGGATACGATGTATAATGAGGTGTCACAGCAGATTGGCAGAGGCTTCCTTCCCAGAGCCGCAACACCGCTTGCTAAACGACACGGACATAGCCACGATGAGGACACACGCCACGACATCACTTCAACGTGGTGTAATCGTAAAATAGGACGGCCTATTGACGAAAGCAGAGATCCAAGCGAACCCGTCGAAGGTATCAATGGTGTGTGTCTGCGCTCGCTGGCAGAAACCACTAGTGTTATGTCATTTCGTTTTGTATATCCATCAAAACTCGTTCATAACGAGAAGGGCGCGATGGAACGTTAGTTGCGCACTAGGCTCGCGTTGCGAGGCTTAATGGACGTCGAGGCCTTCGACGTCGAATCCTCCTTAGGCACAAAGCACAAAGCGACCTTGAAACTCTGGGCCAACACGGCAGCGCGCAAGAAGGATTGTATTCCCGCGTCTTGGAATTCGACAAAGGCTCCCTCAAGTGTCCCACTTACACAGAGCTGGCAGCTGCCGGTGGGGAAAATCAAATGCCAGTGAGTTTTACGCCCCTTCCTGGCTCTGCCGCGGCGCTCCACACACTGCCAGGCTTTGCCAATTTTTCCGAAGCAAAGCGTTGTCTTCAGTGCTTGAGGCTTTGCGCGGGCGCCAAGGACGCCCCGCGAACATGCTCACCTATGCCCAGGAACACCAAGAAGGCCCGGGCTCCAGCGCACCAGATACGACGAAACATTCGAAGTAAGCCCGGCTTTGGTCACGGCCAGCAAGTCGATGATATCGACATGATTGGCGCGGAAGCTCGCGTCGACGAGCGCGCGGCGCGTGGAGAGGACGCTCGGCAAATGTGGGCTGCGCGCGCGCGCCAACAGCGCTGTGCGGCGCTCCAAATCCCCGAGCGGCGACGTCGCGATGGACCAAGATGAGTACGCCAACCAGTCGAGGAACCCAACATCCAGAGATGACGGGAGCAGCGCCCGAAGAGAAAGCCACCAAGACGGGGCAAATATGTACATGCGTCTGAGTGGTGTATTGGCTGATGTTGCCATGACACAGGCGCGGCCCATGGCCTGCGCCGCCTCGCTTCAACGAGTTCTGCGGTCTACGAAAATCCAGAAGCTCGGAGGGTAAACGCGGCGAGCAGACGGCGATTACATGGCCCAATGAAGCTTACGCGCCCAGCCATGACACCAACGGACGAGGTAGATGTCCACAGCGACTTTCGATGCCGCCGCTTTACGGGAGATGCGGATGATGAAGAAAGAGGAGACTGCACCCGCGGGGCAAACTTGCTCGGGCGCGGCGCTGCAGTTATCCACTTGGTGGATGCACGCTGCAAGGCACATCGATTTCAGGTGCATTCGAGCTGCGCAGCGGACGCGCTGGCTGCGGCGAGGAATCTCGAGGACTGCGACCCGACCATAGTCGCGCTACACAAATTCGAGATGGGAGCCACTATGCCCCCCTAGGAACTTAACTCGTTGGAATTGGATGGGCCATGCATGAAGGCCGTCGACGCCGAGTCTGCCTTCAAGTACATGTCTAGCAACGGGGTGCGACGCGTGCGGCCTGTCTGCAGACGGACGCGCAGCGCTGACCGGGGTAATTTTGCAGGCGATGTCAGGGCATCAGTCTCTCACGCATGACGTAGAGAGAACCGTGCCACATCGTAGCGATACAGAACGCACGCGGCACTGGGCCTGTCCCTCGCGGGGCCGCGGACCTTGACCATGCAATGCTCGGCCCCGCAACGGGCGCCCAGCTGCGGGCGCGCGCGCACTTTTCTGATGCCATGGAGCATGCGCCCGACATCGGAAAAAAACATAGAAAAGGCCTGATTGCTGGCCACGCAGCCCGACGTCAGGCACACATCGCCGCGGGCTTTCACCGCCCACTCTTTCGCGTCGCCGAGCGCGCGTTTTGACGCCTCGGACGAGTTGCCGATCAGCGGTCGCGCATCCCAGGCAAGCCGCTGGCAAGTTGCGCCAGTGGCGCAATCTTCAGTGCGATGGCGACAAGCTGTTAAAAGTTCCAATAGGCCCCACCAAAGGTGCAGGAGGAGCGGTTGTTGGCGGGCCAACAGAGGCTCTCGGCGCTGCTAGCCAACGCTCGCCTCCGACGTCGATGGGCGCGTAATTATTGTTGTATACATTGAGTATGGCGTCGCGCTTCGAGCCAAGTCCCTGCGGCGCGCTTCGACCCCCCCCCCGGCACACGATGGGGCCGCCTAGCTGTCGGAGCGAACGAGGGCGAGCGCGCCCGCAACTATTTCCTTCCGATGGGGTCGGCGCCAGGATATGATCAGTCGGAGCTGGTTTTGGTCGCGTAGAGTAACAGATCGCATCTACCTTTGCATCGCCCCCCGGCTTCTTTCCCACGTGAGAATCACGCGCTGCCGCGCGCGCCGGGGGCCCCAAGAGATCTGGCAGTCTGGGTTGCGGGCCCCTTTCAAAAACCGTCGGGGTGGAGGGCCGAGGCTGAAGGGATCAGGTCACGGACCCCAGGACATTCCGATTCGCGCCACAGGACGCGATGGCGTATATGTAGATGTAAATATGAATATGTTTGTACAAGTACAAGTATTTGCGCGCGTTAGAATGTTCGCAGGCGCTTCGCGGATGCACCAGGGCGTATCTGCACAGAGTCGCGAATCCAGAGGCGCGGCATGGATCGGAAGATATGCGATGCCACCATTGTCCTCTCGGACCAAGCCGCCGCGGGCATTCGAGGGCACAGGCAGAGCGACGCGTCGCAGTTGAATGAGTCGTCCGTGGCCAACGCGCACACCCACCTCCGCGCCAGCCCGTGGCCTTCGGGCAGCGGGCAAGTGCTGCGGAGACCTTTGCGGTTGTGCTCACATGACAGGCCAGCCCTGCGACGTCTGAGATGCAGGACAAGGAGGCGAGATGCAGATGAACCGAAGGGTCCACGCGCCGCCTCCAGCAGTGCTTGTGACGCGAGGTTGGAGAATTCGTTCCGAGCAGCATTCGTGGCGCGCTCTTGGGGAGCGACGGCAGCGGTGCAATTGATGGGGGGGCAAGCAAGGGCCAGACAAAAAGACACCGCATTTGGTCAGAGAGAAGCCCGCGCTCTTAGAAGGTGAGTACCTTACATAGGTTGACCTCTCTTTCCATATATATATATATATATATGTATGTATTCATAGATGTGTGTATACATATATACATATATACATACATCTATATATAGAGAGAGAGAGAGGACTAGGCCGGGGGGGGGCGCAAAAACCGGTGCCATCATCCCCCATGGGCGCCCCCCCGAATCTTTGGGGGGTCGCAGACCCCCCGGGCCTGCCCCAGGCCGCTCCCGAATTGTCCACGACACGCCACGCAGGCCGTACAGATGGTCATACAAGCCTCAAGAGGCCCCGAGCACGCCCAAAAGAGCCCCGAGATGGCTTAAAGATGGCCGACGAGGGCCCCAAGAGGGCTTTCAAGAGGCAACAATTAGCCCGATCCTGTAAGAAAACGTACATTTTCAGCATACTCGCTGGCTTCGTCTTCACAGTGCCCCAGGCGCCCCCGCGGAGACCCAAAACAGCCCAAGAGAGACCCAAGAGGGCCCCAGACGGCCCAAAAAGATCGTCCCGTGGGGCTCACGGAACCCCCCAAGACGGCCCAAGAGGCCCCGAAACCGGCCCAGGAAGCCCCCAAGACGGTCTCAGGGAGGCCTAAGAGGGCCGAGGCTTCTGGGAACATGATTTCCGGGTTGCGAGGACGCCCAAGAGGCCCACAAGACAGCCTCAGCGAGGCCCAGGAGGATTCGAGATGGCTTGAAGATGGCCGAAGAGGGCCCCGAGAGGGCCTCCAAGAGGCAAACATCAGCCCGGTCCCGTAGTATTATCCCGGCAAAGAAACCTAACAGCGATGTGTAGAACCATATTTGGAAGCATTCCCCTTAAAATTCAGATGAGAATCCTGTTGTAGAATTCTGCTGTTCTCGCATTCGTAGTCGCATTCGCGATGGCAGTCGCAGTGGTAACGGCAGTCGCAGTCACAGCCTCAGCCTCAGCCTGCCTCAGACTCAGCCTGCCTCAGCCTCAGCCTCAGCCTGCTTCAGCCTCAGCATCAGTCTGCCTTCAGCCTCGGCCTCAGCCTCAGCCTGCCTCAGCCTCAGCCTGCATCAGCCTCAGCCTCAGCCTCAGCCTGCCTCAGCATCAGCCTGCCTCAGCCTCAGCCTCAGCCTCAGCCTCAGCCTCAGCCTCAGCCTCAGCCTCAGCCTGCAGCCTCAGCCTCAGTCTGCCTTCAGCCTCGGCCTCAGCCTCAGCCTGCCTCAGCCTCAGCCTGCATCAGCCTCAGCCTCAGCCTCAGCCTCAGCCTCAGCCTCAGCATCAGCCTGCCTCAGCCTCAGCCTCAGCCTGCCTCAGCCTCAGCCTGCCTCAGCCTCAGCCTCAGTCTGCCTTCAGCCTCGGCCTCAGCCTCAGCCTGCCTCAGCCTCAGCCTGCAGCCTCAGCCTCAGCCTCAGCCTCAGCCTCAGCCTCAGCCTGCCTCAGCCTCAGCCTCAGCCTGCTTCAGCCTCAGCCTCAGTCTGCCTTCAGCCTCGGCCTCAGCCTCAGCCTGCCTCAGCCTCAGCCTGCCTCAGCCTCAGCATCAGCCTGCCTCAGCATTCAAAATGTGGCCCGGGAATGGAGTTCTGGGAACTCGAAGAACACGAAGTGGCCTACAGTTGGCTCCGGGCATTCAAAATGTGCCCAGGAATGGAGTTCTGGGAACTCGAAGAGCACGAAGTGGCCTACAGTTGGCTCCGGGCATTCAAAATGTGGCCCGGGAATGGAGTTCTGGGAACTCGAAGACCACGAAGTGGCCTACAGTTGGCTCCGGGCATCCAAAATGTGGCCCGGGAATGGAGTTCTGGGAACTCGAAGACCACGAAGTGGCCTACAGTTGGCTCCGGGCATCCAAAATGTACGCCGGGAATGGAGTTCTAGCAGCGCCAAGAGCGATTTTGCGAGGATGTCCCAGGCGATTTGGGCTTCGGCGGCAGCCGCCCCGGGTCCCGCCCCGACCCCCCTGAGGAGTCATGATGTTCTCTTTTGACCCCACTAGAAACCTATCAGTCTTCGCTGTTAGGTAAAAACGTACATTTTCAGCATACTCGCTAGCTTCGTCTTCAGAGCGCCCCAGACGCCCCGAGGAGCCCCAAGAGAGACCCAAGAGGGCCCAAGACGGCCCAAAAAGGATCGTCCCGTGGGGCTCACGGAACCTACCCCCCAAGACGGCCCAAGAGGCCCCGAAACCGGCCCAGGAAGCCCCCAGACACGGCCTCAGGGAGGCCCAAGAGGGCTTTGTTCGACATCATGTTCCCCAAAGCCTCTCCAGGAACATGATTTCCGGGCTCCCAGGACGCCCAAGAAGCCCACAAGACAGCCTCAGCGAAGCCCCAGAGGGCTTGAGGTGGCTTAAAGATGGCCGACGAGGGCCCCAAGAGGGCCTTCAAGAGGTAAAAGTCAGTCCATTCCTTTCGTAAGACTTACATTTTCAGCATACTCGGTTGCTTCGTCTTCAGAGTGCCCCAGACGCCCCCGAGGAGCCCCAAGACAGCCCCAGAGAGACCCAAGAGGGCCCAAGACGGCCCAAAAAGATCGTCCCGTGGGGCTCACGGAACCCCCCAAGACGGCCCAAGAGGCCCCGAAACCGGCCCGGGAGGCCCCTAAGACGGTCTCAGGGAGGCCTAAGAGGGCCTCGTTCGACATCATGTTCCCAGAAGCTTCTCCGGGAACATGATTTCCGGGTTCCCAGGGCGCCCAAGAAGCCCACAAGACAGCTTCAGCAAGGCCCAGGAGGACTCGAGATGGCTTGAAGATGGCCGACGAGGGCCGCGAGAGGGCCTCCAAGAGGCAAAAATCAGCCCGTTCCCGTAGTAAAACGTACATGTTCAGCATATTCCTTTGCTTCGTCTTCGCATTGCCTCAGACGCCCCCAAGGAGCCCCAAGACAGCCCAAGAGAGACCCAAGAGGGCCCCAGACGGCCCAAAAGGATCGTCCTGTGGGGCTGACGGAACCCCCCAAGACGGCCCAAGAGGCCCCAAAGCCGGCCCAGGAGGCCAAGACGGCCTCCAGGAGGCCCAAGAGGGCCTCGTTCGAAATCATGTTCCTCGAAGCCTCTCCAGGAACATGATTTCCGGGTCCCCAGGACGCCCAAAGACAGCCCCCAGAGGCCCCAGACACGCCGAAGATGGCCTCAGGACGGCCGACGACGCCGCCAAAACGCCCCAAGAGCGCCTCCAGAGGTCCCTCCACAGGGCCCCAGAAGCCGAACATCATAAATTTCCCAATGGTTTTTTCAAAGCATTCTTGCGCTCTCCCATGTTCCGCCTCCCCACGGTCCCGGACCGCGTCAGAGGCCATTTCAGATCGCTCCAAGACGGCCGAAGAGGCTCCCAAGAAAGCACAGATACGGCCCAGGAGGCTCCCCATGATAAGTCAAGAGGGCCTCGAGAGCGCCCCAAGAGAACCCCAAGAGCGACCTAAGAGGGCCCGAAGAGTGCGACATTTCGAGGTCTCTGGCCTGAGATGCTCTTAGGACGCCCCCAGAGGCCATCAAGAGGCTTCCAAGAAGCCCCGTGAGGCTCCCAAGAGGCCCCCCGGAAGCCCCAACAGGCCTCCAAGGGAACCCCAAGGAAGCCCCTTGCAGGCCCCCAAGACACTTCGGTAAATCGTATTTCCCAGATTGCTGTCCTGGAACATGACTCCTTGGGCTTCCGCCCACCGCCCCAACCATGTTTCCAATAGGCTTGCCGACAAGGCCACAAGGTGCCCCTCGGTAAGCCCCCAGAGGCCCCCCCCTTTCAGAGAGCCGAACAAATCATGCTCCCGGAAAGCTTCCCGGGAACATGATTCTCTATCTCGGAGTAGGCCCGGGGGGGGGGGCGGGCCGCTGCCTGTTCCCCCCATCGGTGCCCACAAGGGGTTGCGGGTGGGGGGTCCAGAGTCTCCGAGGCGGCCCGAGCCCGCCCCGAAGCAGGCCACGACAGGCTGAGGGGGTCCCGAGAGGACCCAAGACGGTCCCACGAGGCCACGAAGACGCCCAAGATGCCCTCAAGACGGCCGGCGAGGACTCCAACACGCTCCAGGACGGACTCAAGAGGCTCCCCAAGAGGGCCCTGGAAGGCAAGATTCACTCGTTTTCCGAGTGTTTTGGATGTTGGCGTTCTCGCTTTTCCAGCGCTCCCTCACGGCCTCGGAGGCCTTTCAGATCGCTCCAAGAAGGCCCACGAGGCCCCGACGAGGGCCCCAAGACGGCCCAGGATGCTCCCCAGACAACCCAAGTGTGCCCCAAGAGCGCGCCAAGAGAAGGCCCAGAGGGGTC